ATATATTTGATGTCTTAAAATAACAAAAATAACATTGGGATTAAGTAGTTTTTACTAACTCACTACTAATTCAGCATTAATTAGGCCCATGTTGATGACACCTGGACTCAACTTTTTGAGTTAGATAAATACTAAAAGATACTACTCTCTCTGGGAAGGCAGGGTGGCTTCATTCATATAATTCACTCAACAGTTAAGTACCTCCGATGTGGCACTGACTGTCCCAGCCACAGACCACAGTGAGAACGGATCCCCTCCTCATGCTAACATGAGTGTCGGGGAGGCAGTGAAGTAATGGTGGTGATTCCAATAAGGTGGAATAAGTTTCAGATGGACATCTAACACCTCCCGGGAGAAAAAAGACTATTCTTGGGGTATGAAAGCAAGAGAGACTTCCGAGGCAGTAACATGAAGGAGGTAATTATTACTCTAATTATGTATGAATCTTGTGTTGGCAAGGATGGGCCATAAAACCTGGCATGGCACAGGGTTTGGCACACACTAGTTCCCACTAAAAGATGCGAGTGCAGGCTTGTCTACATAAATTACTGGCAAACAAGGAGGACAGCACAAAAGACCAAAAATGTGAGAAACAGTCCAATGAGGAAGATGATTTTGTCCCTCTAAATTGGCAACAAATATGTGTATACTTAACTAGGTACAGAAACATTAGACTAAGTGCATATCCTTCCAATTCCCAGAAGTTCTGCACAAATTCTATAAGAACTTTTAAAGAGCAGAGAAAAATAAAAGATAGATGCCTACAAATTAACTTAAACTTTCACCTTGTATTTTCTTTTTTTTTGGATATATTGTTTATTGAAGGATTACTAATGAATAAGTGCATAAAATGTACTAGTTTTAAGGTACAATTTTTTACATATGTATACATTAGTGCAACTATCACCTACATCATGATTGGAATTTTTATTTTATATACAAATGCCATGCTCTTTATCACATAATGTCTCATAAACATTACATTCTCTACTATATATTTCATAAATATAAACCTTGTATTTTCTTTAAGCCACGATGCACTACAATAATTTACATATAACTAAATAGCTTGTTGATTTTCATCTACCTGGGAAACAGTTAGCTAGGACCAGCTATGTTTTCTAGCTGACATCTAGATTGGAGGCCAGCAGTGACACAGTATGAGAAGTACC